ACATCGAGTAAATAGCAAATAGGCATTTTTCTCCCCAATAATCGGAATTGAATTAGGCTATTTCAATTACAATAGATCTTGTATAAAAAGTATATTTATCATATTTTGTTTTAGATGATGGAGTACTTATTGAATTTTCCTACGATAATATGAGTATGTTTCCATTGAAATTCCTCTTTAAAAGATATTATGAGTGTCTGCAATATCAGTCTCGATCATAACACTAAGTGTGACCAATCTGGGTAATGCAGCGTATAATCTTGACTCTGTAAGCACTCAGCCACATCGCCAAGTACCGTTGGGTCACCGAGCAAGGTAAATTTCGGTTAAGGGATGAAACTTGTTTTCGTTCACAGGTTGGAGCGATCTGAAGGTCCCACTATGTTGTCTACCAACACTAAGAGATCGATATTCGAATCTTTTATCCAAATACTTTTAAATGAAATGAAAGTTTACTCAAGAATGTACATGATGCAAACTTGTATTCCAATAAAAGTTACGGCATAAGCAAGCACGGATTTAATAATCTTGTACTCTATGAGTATGTAGTAAATGAGCCTATATGTACGTAGGTGACATGCTCAAACATCGATTGAAATATCAAGTAGTAGTTTGTCTCTCCAAATATCGGAGGTGAAATAGGTTATTTCAATAGCAATAGATCTTGTATAAGAACTATATTTATCATATTTTGCTTTAGATGATGGAGTACTTGTTGAATATTCCTACGATGATATAAGTATGTTTCCATTAAAATTGCCTCTTTAAAAGATATTCTGAGTGGACTGCAATATTACTCTCAATCATGACACGAACTGTGACCAATCTGGGTAATAGAGCGTATAATCTTGACTCTGCAACCACTCTGCTACATCGCCAAGTACCCTTGGCTCACTAAGCCAGATAAATTTCAGTTAAGGGATGAAAGTTATTTTCGTTCACAGTTAAGAGCGACCTGAATATCCGATCATGTTGTTTAATAACACTATAATATTGACCTTCGAATCTTTTCTTCATACACTTTCAAATGAAATGAAAGTTTACTCAAGAATTGGGTTGACCTCGTTGTCGCAACTTGGTCTTGTGTTCAGGGAGACTATGTAGAACGCACCGAGTC